AGACATCACTGGCATTTGCGCAAATGCTAAGTACCCCAAGATCCTTGCCAAGATCAGACATCGAGCGCCGGGACGGTAGGAATGAGGGTAAGATCAAGGAGGAGGAGGAGGTCAAGTGGGTGGTAGTGAACTGGAAGCAAGCCGACGAGTTTGTTTTCATGCTGTCACCTGCTTAGGTTGGCTTAAACCAAACGTGTTTGGCGAGAACTTTTCTTAAGCTGTTTAACTAGTTTAAGCTGATTTAACCGAAAAATTACTGCGGGTGTCTATGCTACCAGGCACCCCGAGGCCATTAAACCAATCAAGCTCATTCAACCAATCAAACGAATCACACCAAATATTACTTAACTGCCCAAGCAGTGGGTCAAGTCACTGAGCCAATTAAATTGAGTTCTGGGGTCAATGCTAGACTGCGGTAGACGCTGGGCCAATTCAAGTATGTCGCATCAATGTGGGGTGTGAGAGGCAGAGGTGGATCCTAACAATGATATTTCCCGGTGGCATACCGAGATTCGAGGATGGACCTGAGCCGAAATCTGAGGTGTTTTGCAAAGTTGACTCTTGAGGAAGCAAGGATTTGTACTGAAGGCCAGAAGAATGCAGGGATGCCAGTGGGGCAATGGGATTTTAGCATCTGTGGATGAGAGCAGAGAAGATGGAGGGAGAAAGAGAGAGAGAAGTGTAGTCACAACCTCACGGTGGCACCGAACGATGCGATCACAAAGGCTGAACAAAGGAGCAAACCAAATACAATGCAACACGGCCTTGTCCAAAACCACCGTCTCCCTCAAACTGTTGCCACCACTTATTGGATCCATCCCCTCCCCAGTGACTGAAACAACACTACTGTAGTATTTAAATCACTTCGAATGTCACGCGTCACAGGGCCCAAAATTTTCGAAAATTTTCAAACCTGTCACGGGTCACCGACGGGATTTTCGAAGGTGCAAAACCAGTCACGAAAAAGCCGAAAAAGGCCCGCAAAAACCATTTTTCGTGCGCGCGGCGCGTACAGGCGTATTTCCGCATTCGATCCCTCAGGCTCTCACGAAATGCCAATTTTGGTTTGCATTGGCAAAAGTGGTGGATTTGCGCTGCGATGGGAGCTGAAAATTGATGAGGTGGGACACTGTTAGGTCGCGGGCTGGCAATGAGCACTTCTCCTGTCCTCCTGGGATACTCAGAATGTCGGGAAGCCCGCTTGTCGCGATGGTGCGGGAATCCGTGGGGTACGGATTTTCGAAGTTTGTTTGGATGTCACGGCCAAGTCACCCCATTTTCGAAAACCAAAGTTCGAATCTTGCGGTCACAGGTCACAGCCCGGGAGAAGTGATTTAAATACTACAGTAGTCTCAACAGCCAGGTGCGCGTCGAATAGGTGCGGAGTCATTACATCTGGTCAATTATCTTTCCTAGCGAGCATCCACCAGAGACCCAGCATCAGAACAGACCGCTTACCTTCGAAGGCTATTTTTGCCTCCAGCAGCTCCCATACACGAGCACGATTTCAGCCTTCAGCGGGACCAGCACATAATCGGCGTAATCAGCTCAATAGATTAACTCAATCTTAGACAGCTTAATTGGTTCAGCCGGGTTAATGGTTTAACTGTCAGCTCAATCGGCTCAACCAGATTAACTGGTTTTACTAGCTGAATTGGCTTAATGCCTTGGTGGTAGTGGTATTGTACATAGTCTGTAGTAGTGCTACGGTTAGAATGGCTTAGAACCGTTTAAACGGCTTAAGCAAACTTCCCGCCAAAACACGTTCAGTTTAAGCCAGCCTAAGCTGGATTTATTTCCATGAGCAGGCCATGGATCATGGAGGTGCCGGTACATGGCAGAGGAGCTGCGCCACAAATCTTCCATCCAGTTCCTTGCTCTTGAACGAAACCTGTCAGACTATCAGTCGTTGTCCGCTCACTCTCTTTTTTGTCGCCGGAACAGCCCACTCACTCTCCACCTTTTAGCATACTTCACCTAATCGCCATGCCCGACTGTTACCGATACTCTCGCTCCTTCAATAGCTATTCAGCTCTCCGTCAGCATGAGCAGAACTCGCCGAACCATCATCTCTGCGACAACTGGGACAAAGACTTTACGTCCGCGAAGGCGTTAAAGGAGCACTTCGTGCAGAGCCTAATGTACGACTATTGCCAGCATTGCGATACCCATTTCGACGACTCAGAAGAGCTCCAAGATCATTACCAGACTGACCACCATTTCTGCGATCCATGCCGCAAAATCTTTCAGAACGAGTACGGATTGCACGACCACAAGCGCGATACAGTAGCTGGATCTGGGCGCGTCCATCCACCCATTTGCTGGCCACGGTCCGATATCATCCACATTCCGCGTGGAAGGTGCGCCGATCCGTGGTGCGTTGGAGTGTGTTGTCTGTATCTCAGCTCAACGCCGGTGCGTGTACATGCAGAGTGATGAACGAGGATGGGGTGTGGCTGGGAGATGCAAAGTCAAACCCCTCAATCCGTGCGCGAGATCTCCTTCCCCCCGATTAACACCGGCTCTTCAGAACGCACCCCACGTCTCCCCGTCATGCCCATCCCCTCCTGCTCTTCCTCTCACATTCCACCGCATATAACCCACCGCCCCCGCGCCCGTACCCGAGGAGCCGCGCACCAAGCCCTCCCTCTCCCCCTCTCCACGCCCACCCAGCCCACACCTGCCAGGGTGCGGGCGGAGGGCTCTAGGGAGGGTGAGGGGTCTTACCCTCCATTCCCGAAGCCACTTCCATTTCCATTTCCAGCTCCAAAGCCAAAGGACGCGTTGGTGAGGTGGGAAGCGAACGACGCGGAGGACGGCGTGAAACCGAAAGAGGCGAACGAGTCCGAGCGTACCCTTCACTCCCGCTCGCGTTGCCGTATCGCATCGAAGTCGATTCCATCTTGGAATTCAAATTCAAATCGTAGCTGTGAGATTGAGATTGAGGGCTTGTCTCGCCATATACATCCCCTCCACTCGTCCCCTGGCAGTGCTGATGTAGGGGCGGCTTTTCCGCTTCATCATTTGAGGTGGAGGTGGAGGTAGAGAACACCGCTACCCGCGGGTTCGCGGATACGGGATAGGCGCGTCGGGGCGCCTCTGCGTTTCCGTTCTGTACCGCAACCTGCGCAGTAGAGGCACCGATTTGCGCGGAGTTGGACGGAGACGGAGATATGACGTCGAAGAACGCGGTGGGGGAAGAGGCAGAGGGCAGACAAGGCAGAGCAGGAGGAGTCCGCACATCAGCGAGCGCGAACGCCTCGTGTGCGGGCGGCGCAGTGCGTGGTGCTTGACCTCCTCTCGAATAAGTATAATTGCCGCTCGTTGTCGTATGGGCACGCTTCGAGCTGGTCGCATAGCTCGCGTTCGACGCAAACGGCGAAACAGGCGCTGAGGCCGAAGTCGAGGCTGCAGGAGAGGTAGAAGTCGAGTCGTGGGGCGGTGAGTGGAAGGGGTTCGCGGAATTAGCTCCGGGAGCGCCACATGTAGATGCAGCGAGCAATACTGCACCCGAATGGGAACGCGGTGACGCGGATGCCGATGCAGAAGAAGTAGCAGAGCGCTGCGCGCGCGTCGGGGGCAAGGGGAGCGGGGAAGGACTGGAATTGAAACTGAAAGCGCCGCTCGTGATGGCGACGGAGCTGAAGTGGCCGCTGGAGCTCGTGATGGTGACGGAGTTGTTGGTTGGGGTTGCGAAGAGGGAGGACGAGTAGCCGTTCCTGTGTGCACGTGCGGACGCTGCAGAAGACGAGGAAGTGGAGGTGGTGCTCGACGCCGATGAGGCGTTGTATCCATTTTTTCGTGTATTGTTCAGTTGGAGCGGGCGAGGGCGGGATTCGGGTGAGGGCGCGGGTGTGGGGAGGAGCGGGTTTGATTTTGATTTTGATGTGCGGCTCGCAGCGGGGACGGAGGCTATGAAAAGATAGATGAGATGAGACGAGGTGAGAATCAGAATCAAATAAAATAAATAAGCAAGCATCGCCGACCACGCCGCAACAAAAAAGAACAAGAACAAGAAAGAATAACCGACATTGAACAAACACAAGACTCAGGTCAATGGGGTTCCCCGCTTCCGTGTGCAGGATGAGACGTAAGAGCGCGAAGAAGGCGCCGCCGCCGAGGGTAGGCGCGGGGAAGAAGCGGAGAATCTTTGAAAAGAAAAATCATTCAGCGATATGGATCCCAGCAATCTAAGGGGAGCGACGGAAACGCGCCTCGTCAATCGGCCCAGTCCCCAGTGAGGCATACCGTCCACAAAGCCACGCGCGGGCCTCGCGCACGCTCACGCTTATCCGTTCCCAGTCCTCGTTGGAAGTCGAATCGACATCGGCGAGGTCAGCGAGGCTGGCGATGAATTGAGCGTGCTCGGCGTCGCTCAGCGCGGAGGGGTGCAGCCAGAGTCGGCGCGCGGACATGGTGGGCGGAGGAAAGAGAGTGGAGTCGCGTTGGTGAGCCGACGTGCCGAACACGTGGATCGCACGTGGGGTTGAAATTAGGTTGAAAAAAAGGCTGGACGGTTAGCTTCTTTAGATATGCGTACGCAATTATCTCCCTCTCACCGATTTTTCGTCAGTGATCGACCACTCTATATTTACTCCATCTGATTAAGTATGAAATTCGTACCCAGCTGCAGGGGGAAGGTCTTTTATCGGGACGCAGCCTAAAAACCTGCGCACTAAACAAAAAAGAACAAAAAAAAGGCGAAAGAAAGAAAGAAAGACAGAAATTACAACAACATCTCTCATGTCCCTCCCCGACTCGAACGAGGTCTCTGCACTGGAATTCTAGATCCTGGCCACCACGCAGATGCATACCACATGCCACGGGGCCTTTCTGTGCTCTGTGGATTTGGAAGACTCAGTGTTCTCAGCCGATGCAGCGTGTGTACATGTGATAATTTAATCCACATCCACCCGTTCCCGCAGCACATACTAACCGTATCCACACGCGGCGCTTGACATATCCGAATATAAAAACAGCAGAATTCGGGGAAGATAGCATGGCTCAGCCCGGAGTCGAACCGGGATCTTCTGCTTATACACCGTTATTACTGTCTCAACAATGGAAGATGCACACTGCATGCTACCGAGCCGCTGTGCTCTGTGTTCATTCAGTGCTCATGATCGACAACTCTTTATTGAGCCTATATCATTAATTGTGAAGTTTGAACCCAAGCGCGGGAGGGGGAAGCTCTTATATCGGAATGCAGCCCAAGAACTCTGCGCACTAAACCAAAAGCGACGAAAAGAAAAAGAAGAAACAACACTGCCGCTCCCCGACTCGAACGCGGTCTCGGCACTAGAAGTCTACATCGTCTACATCCAAACGATGGTATACATGTCACATGCCATGGGGCGTCCCCACACTCTGTGGATCCTAGATATGTAGTTCTTCACCGGCCAGAGCGCTTCGGGTGGGTGTTAACGGCGACCATAATCGGAAGTTCCGTGAGGTGGAAGGAGGAGGGATTAGTTTCTAGAATCAATTCAAAGTAGTATGTGCAACGCAATTCGACTACCACAGGACTCACTTTGCCTGCGCAGGCGCCACAAGGCGGCTGGACTTTGCTTTTCTGTCAGCGTTTCGATACTTATTTTAACCAAGCAGCTAGATTTCCGTTGGCTTTTTCTTTCTCTTGATTGTCATGGTTGCGCCTGCACATCGGCCTCATCGTCCTAGTCCTTGTTTTCATCGTCAGCGTCAGCGTCGTCCCAGTCCATAATAGGCGGCTCGGGCCCCTCGATGTCGGATTTGCGCATCTTCCACGGGCGCTCGCCGTCCTTGTAATGCTGCACCCCCAAAATCAACCCCCATCAGCAAAAACACCCGCAGCGGGCGGATCGAAAAACGCACATTCACCTCGGTCGGCCTCTCATACGGTACAATATCCTCCCACCTGCTCCCCGGCTCAAACATCCCCTCAATGTCCTCCCCCCTTACGACAACCCCACATTCAAAGTTCGCCATCTTCTCAAGGCGCTCGGTCCGGAGCATCGCCGCGATGACCCTGTTCCGCCCCTCGCGCTCCACCTTGCCCCACGCGCTGCTGGAGAAGTTCGCAGAGCCCAGGTACATGTACTTCGGCCTGCGCTTTGGGTTTGGCGACTGACGGTGAAAGGCGAGGATGCTCTTGAGGTGGAAGAGGGAGCCGCGGTCTTTGGAATAGTAGTGGTGGAAGACATCCTTGAGGTACTCGGTGTTCTTCTTCTCGAGTGCGTTCCAGTCGATGTGGCTTGAAATGTTGCCCTGTGGGTCCACGAAGGCGATACGAGTAGGTGGGCATAGAGAGACAACGGAGGGAAACGGGATGAGAGGATGCAACGCACAGCATGCCCGAACCTCGACGCTCTCACATCTGGCGTCGTACTACGGGAATATCATCTTGAGCACCGGTTCGCCTTCGATCAACTCCTGCAGATTTCCCGGCGCAGGACTCGAGGAAGTTGCTCACCACGCCCTCGTTCTCGAGGTGACCACGGATTCGACACGACTGGTCGACGCCAGAGTCAGTCTTTCTTCTCCCTCATTCATCCAGAGAGCATTTACATCTCAAACGTCATCTTGGGAACTTTATTTTTGTCTTTGCCGTACCGTTTCTTCAAAAGATTGCGCATGACCTTCCGCAGCCTCAACTGCCCATACTCGTACGTCTGTTCCCCGCTGAACGATCCGGGTTTACTCGTCACTAGACGGACCTTGGCAGCGGAGACGTCGAAGACGCCAGCTTGAGATACTGACGGATAAAATCAGGTGGGCTTTCGAGTTCGCTGACGTGCTTGCGAAGACGTCGCTCAAACGGGGTTTCCGTATACGCGGCACCGTCGGAGAGGCGGGGAAAGTCCCAAGGGAGTCAACAGACCGTTCCGCTACATCGGCTGCGCGGACCTGAATATGCCAATGGTTGTCCCCATAGATGGTATCGCACTGCATCGTGAAGAAAATATTAGCCTCTCATGAAACTGAATGACCTGAACTTAAGTTCAGGGCGGTCCGACCGTATTTCAGACTTGAGTTCGGGACAGAACTTAAGTTCTGCCTCCATGCGAAGGGGCCACCTGTGTGCGCATCCTGACCCACCAAACTCGAACTTAAGTTCTGCCTCGCACTTGAGTTCCGCCCAGGACTTAAGTTTCAGATGTATATATATATATTGGATACCTATTCTGAGTCCTGTAACACTTTAGTACCCTCGAGCTTGAGTTCCACCACCGATTCCCGAACTTGAGTTCCACCACCGAACTTAAGTTCCACCGCCGAACTTGAGTTAGTTTGCAATATTTATCTACATTGCAAACCTACGTAGTTGAGTCCCATAACACTTGAGTTCCGTCGAGTTTAACTCACACCGTGACTCAAGTCCGGATCCCGTCGAACTTAAGTTCGTCATATCTTAGTCTAAAAGTCACCGTAATCCGTAGTAGTAAATAAATAATCACTGTCTTTATGAATTGTCGCACATACCATTTCATCCATCCGCTGAAGTTATGTTGTGCCACCCATCAATCTTGGTAAAATGTCCAGTGCACGCTCCACGGTCTTCACAAAATCAAAGACCTTTATTCCGTCGATGAAAGTAGATAGTTGGTTGGAGTGCGATGGCATTGAGTCTGCAGCTGAGAATTACAGAGCCTAGGGAGTTGTGGAGGGTACTTGATGGCCGCAGACACGATGGCGTGTGGGTCAAAGATAAAGTTCGAGGTCGAGTTGGTGGCACACGACCGATCCGCACATCTGAGATCAGTGGCACAACGAGTTACAAGACAGAGTCTGCGACGGGATGTGGATTGACTTTGAGTTTTGTACTGAAGGGAAGGGAGGCAATTTCCTGTATGAGAGAGTAGAGAGAGAGCAGCCAGGGTGTTCGGAGTGAGGAGCTAGTGTGGTGGAAGGAAACGAACAAAGACAAGATATGGGTGACAAGTGACTCGTCAGTTGAGCTATCAAGGTGGCTGTGGCATAGCCTTCTCTTTCTTTCACCACCATCGTCGCAGCCTGACAGAGTTTCATGTGGACTGTGAGTTTTCTTCTCAGGATAGTCTCATTGGCTCAGTGGGTCATTTTGAATATGCAAGGTTGTCACTTTGACTCTCTTTGACTATCGAGTGCCACCCAACCGCACACCCAGCGTGCTCAATAAACTCGATGTGCACGTATGCCATTGAGTGCCTAGTGCCAAGTCTTCTCCTTCCTCCACCTCGCTGTGCAATCACTCTCACCGCGCAAATCCAGCCAAAGTGGCAGGCAAATGGGTACGAAATTACTCGCGTTTAAATTCGCGTTTGATACAGAACTGAAGTTCTTTATAGGACTTAAGTTCGCCCGGAACTGAAGTCACCGCAAAACTCAAGTTCGCCTGGAACTCAAGTGCGTTGACAGGATTTACGGTGGGTACTGGAGTGGTTGAAACATGAAACTTAACTTAAATTATATGTTTTTTATATGGACTGATCTAAAATTCAAAACTTAAGTCCTGCCGGAACTCAAGTTCGAGGTGGGAACTTAAGTTCAAGGTGAACCGGGGAGATGTGAAGGAAATGCCATTTAGAATACTGTCGCAGAACTTAAGTTTATAGTAGAACTTAAGTTCGAAATACGGTCGAACCGCCTGGGACTTAAGTTGAGCTAATAAAGTATTTGGCCTCTCATCGACACAACAGAAAGGAGAGCACGTACAAATTCGCGGAGGTGATTACGACACGCATAGACTCACGAGTACCATGATCTTTGAGTGCGCGCACCCGCTGTGCAGTTTCTGATAAAACGCTTGGAAATTGTTAGCGTCTGAGTATTCTCGAATCAGGATTTCTGCAGTAGCATAGAAAAAGCGATGAGGCACTCACATTGCTCACGGAACCCTTTTGTAATTCGACGACACGGTCAAAGTCAACGGGTTTCGGCCGTTTCGTCTTGGGCTTATACCCCGCAAATTGTTTGCCGTCCGCGTCCGTGGTGATATCGCGGCCGACATGAACGTTCACATATGGACGGTGATGGCGGCTTGTTTTGAACGGGAGGAACTGGGCACAGGTTAGATTAGGGTAGCGACAGAGCAAAGAAAGAAAGAGTCTTACGTCGAACAAATAAGGGTCTTCGATGAAAAAACTGTAGACTAGAGTGGAGCTGACGTCTGGGGGATGAATGAGATCGTCGAGTGATATAGCGTTGGGAGCATGCTGTCTTTCCGGCGTGCGAGTGAGCCGAAGTGTCCCGCTGGCGTATTTCATGGGCAACGGTGGCGGAGCTGCGTTGCGTCTGTCATACTCTGCCATGATGCCGTGAATTTTTCCTGGATACCTGTCAGCAGGGACCATCCAGCGAATGATCTGACGTGCACTTCAGTGCCTCCGTGTGCAAATCTAACTTCCGCTTCTTTTTTTCTTGCACCGAGTCGGCGCTCGAATCCAGTGGGCGCTTCGGGCGTGTAGATGCGGAAGACGAGGTACAACACCCCGCCACCATGGAGGACGTCGAAGCGTGCGATCCGCGGGCAAGATAGTTCCGCTCGTCTTGAAGACTTAATTTAATCGCTCTATGGCTTGTTAGCGCAGATGCAAAGCTTGAAGTCAACGGCGAGTACTTCATGATTTCGTACTCTTCTTGGCCGTCAAACATTTCGTCCGAGAACGCGTCCATACAGAGAGGAGACCCAGTGGCGAGACGCGATGGTGGAGGAAGAGGAGAGTCACAAGCGACCTCGGTGATTTCCGAACAGTGCCCTATCCGGAAAATGCGTCGGATCATCGGGATGCACCTGAGTGCGTGGCTGACGAAACATCTCACGCCATGGTTCTTGCTCTCAGCTGCTGTGGCTGTCGGAGTCGACCTCCTGCACAGATCCTCATGAAACCCTTGCTGTGATGTTCTTCCAAAAGATCTTTCGTTTGAGCTTTTTTACCACTGCTTGCACTCCGAGTTCTGGGTAGCGGCTGCTACTTAAGTTTCTGCCCCTCGTACTCCTGACTCCATTACTTCCAATCTCATCCTCGGTCACTTTAAAGGCTCTGGAGCCCGATCTTCCGCGCCAGTGCGGTGGTGTGGTGGAAAGAATCTCTGTTCGCCGTCATACCTGCCGTATCGAAAATACCATCTGCA